CCCCGAAACCCTCGATGAAGCGCAACAAGGAGCCTTTACCAGACAGCTACCTATCCAAGCAGCAGATTATCGATCTAGCCAAATCCTTCTCGGATGCGTCTTATGAGCAACGAGCTCTGCCGCCTGCAATGGCACGCGGACCCATCAGCTTCAACACGGCTTGGAGCGCCATGAAGACGCTGATTGGCCGAGGATACGTCTACAGGACCGGCAATCCGCCTCGTTTCGGGCTGAGCGCCCTTGGCTTCGAGGTGGCCAAGCAGTGTGCTGTCAAAGATGATGTGCAAGCAGGGCGGGCGATCTCGCTGGAACAAGGCTTCGAAGGAGAAGAGAAGCTGCCCATAGTGAGCGCCGCTGGAAAGGGTCAGCGCGTACAAGCTTCAAGTCAAGCTGGACCAGCGCGAAGCGGCGCCAAAGCTTTCTGCTTCACGTACGTCGATCCGAGCGGTGCCCACGTTCTGTATCGCAATAAAGCAGCAGTACGCCTCAGCGATGTGGACTACACTCCCCTCTATCGCATCTTCTATCCGACGGACCAACGGGAACACGTGTTTGTCAAGTCCTGTCTGGATACGGCGCCAGAAGCCCATGCGGAGCGGAGCGGCGACGTGGAACTGCTGGAGGGCTGGGTCAGAGAATCTGCCTCGAATGAGAAAGCATCTGGCTTAGCGCCATCCATGGCTCCACCAGCTCGGGGGTCACTCGCGTCTTGCGAGGATATCCCATCAGTATCCGCTGGTCAGCGCCTTCAGCATTATGGCGCTGCTGACAAGGCATTGAACGCGGAAAGGCTTCCCGCAAGGCCTGCAGCCAGTATCAGTGCCGGGCGCGCGTCCTCGGGGCCAAAGTCGGCCGCTGGTACCCAAAGCCTCAAATCCAAGAAGGACGGGGTAGCAGTCAGCGGTCGCCCGCGAAGCGGTCCCAAACGCTCCCGCAAGCGATCGAAGATCTCTGCTTCGTCATCTTCATCAGATTCGGAATCGGAATCAGACGGACGTGACATCGAGGAGGAGACGACGACGACATGTGCTTCACATCAGCCTAGCAAGCGCGCCAGTGCTACTACAAGTCTGCATCCGCACGGTGCCAGCAAGACCGTCGCACGAATGGCACGCAGCAATACCGATCGATCGCGGAGGAAGCCACTGTCGCCCGCAGCCAAGGCCGGTACAAGCTCTTCCGCGACTTGCCTTCAGCTGCTGTCCTCCTCCAGTCCACCCGTTCAAGAACAATGTGCAGAACAATGCAACTCGTCTCCACCTCCTCTGTCTTCGCTCTTGTCGAACCGTTTTGCAAGGCAAGCACTCCGACCAAAGACGCCTACCCACAACACTCAGCCTGCATTTCGGCGCTCGGCAAGCGGGAGTACGGCCAGCGGTGCTCAAAAAAAGCGCCGGGCTTTTTGCGATGCGGAAATCATAGAGCTATGTTGAGCACCGAGTCAGAGCAAGCGCACCTCAAGCGCTTGCATCATGAACCACACAGAGCGCATTTCCCGATTGGCGAGCCTTGGACACCTTCGACACCTTCGACGCTTGGTCTCAATGTCATCGACGCAAATCCCACGACCTGTCTACAGAGCATCGCATTGAGTCCCTGGTGCGCCAGAGTTTTCTGAAACGAGCATCCTTTTGACGAAGCCTGCCATCTATAGCTCCGTGTGCTTCTGAGTAGGGTGAGT